CACCGGGGTGATTCCTCGGGTTTTCCCCTTAATGTTTGGACACACGGATACTTGGACTTTACCACTGTTACCTGGAAAGACGGGTCAACCCTGAGGGGTACTCGCGCGAGCTTAATTGCGAGTGATGTGGAGTCGGGTTGACCTGGAGGGTGCCCGCGAGATAATTACAAGGCGTGGCCGGGCATTCCTAGCCCTTGCCGCAAGTCCTCGAGACGGGGCAACGGGGTCACATCTTTCGTGAGTCTATGCTTGTTACCGCGCGTTCCTAATCCACTACGATTTGGATATTTGATCCGAGGGGCCTCTGGCCTGATAGCACTAACCATCACGTGGGCATAGTATGGGCGTTCTGCGTCGTGTACATCAGCCGAAGCTTAATAGACGTCAGCGACGGAGCGGCGCGCACCGGGTTGGACTGGTAAGCTCCTGCCTTTTTAGGAAGGTAGCTAGGTCTGCTCATCGGCCGCCCACGCAACGTGCAGGAGTTCCCGGGGCGATGGCCCATGACCCCTGGGGGCATAGGTTTAGTCCGGCGTGCTTGACCTCTCTATTAAGCCTAGGTTGGGTTGCGGCGTATTGTTTGGCCGAGGCCAGGCATGACCCAGGAAAGTGTGTCCGGCCGGAGTCAATCGAGCGTGGTGGGTAAGTTGGTGCACCCCTGCAGGGAAGAACTAATCTATGCATAGCCTGTCCTACGGTAACGGACACTTGGAGTTGTATCCCGATCGATACAACTAGAACTGGATACTTGTGATGAGAACTGGATGGTGATGAGGATTTGATTGTGATGATAACTGGATAGTATGGCTCTGGGATTTCTTTCTCGCAGGGAGTCGAGAAAGGATCTCCGGCCGAGGTTGATAACACCACTGCTACTTTACTTTATGCTACTCTACTTCCTCCTGTTGCTGCAAGATGGTGGGTTTGAGAAGATGCTAGTCTTCGATAGGACTAGGCCTTCTCTCTATTCTGGCATTTCTGCAGCCCAATCCACATATACAACCTTCCTTTGATAATGTTGCATATGTAGTGTAGATCCTTGCTTGCGAGTACTTTGGATGAGTACTCACGGTTGCTTTGCTCCCCCTTTCCCCCTTTCTTCTTCTTTCCGGTTGAGGCAACCAGATGACGGAGCCCAGGAGCCAGATGCCACTGCTGATGCTTACTACTACGTGGAGGCCGCCGATGACCAGGAGTAGTTAGGAGGCTCCCAGGCAGGAGGCCTTGCCTTTTCGATCGATGTTGCTTTTGTGCTAGCCTTCTTAAGGCAAACTTGTCTAACTCATGTCTGTACTCAGATATTGTTGCTTCCGCTGACTCTTGTGTTTTCGAGCTTATGTATTCGAGCCCTCGAGGCCCCTGGCTTGTAACATAAAGCTTGTATTATTTTAATTTGTGTCTAGAGTTGTGTTGTGATATCTTCCCGTGAGTCCTTGATCTTGATCGTACACATTTGCGTGCATGATTAGTGTACGATTGAATCGAGGGCGTCACAGGTCCGCATGCTTAAAGTTCGGTGATGATCGGTATTATGAGTTTTTGTATTTTGATGTACCGAAGGTAGTTATTAGTCCCGGATGAGATCGAAGACATGACGAGGAGTCTCGAAATGGTCGATATGTAAAGATCGATATATTGGACGACTATATTTGGACATCGGAAAGGTTCCGAGTGATTCGGGTATTTTTTGGAGTACCGGAGAGTTACAGGAATTCGTCGGGGAGTATATGGGCCTTATTGGGCTTTAGGGGAAAGAGAGAGGAGAGGTTGTGCGCCCCCCAATACTTAGTCCGAATTGGACTAGGGGGAGGGGCGGCGCCCCCTCCTTCCTTCTCATCTCTTTTCCCTTTCCTTCTCTCCTACTCCTACTACTTGGAAGGGCTCCTAGTTCTACTAGGAAAGGGGGAATCCTACTCCCGGTGGGAGTAGGACTCCCCTAGGGCACGCCATAGAGAGGGCCGGCCCTCCCTCTCCTCCACTCCTTTATATACGGGAAGGGGGGCACTCCTTGGAGACACAACTATTGATCATTGATCTCTTAGCCGTGTGCGGTGCCCCCCTCCACCATAATCCAGCTCGATCATATCGTAGCGGTGCTTAGGCGAAGCCCTGCATCGGTAGCATCATCATCACCGTCATCACACCGTCGTGCTGACGAAACTCTCCCGTGAAGCTTTGCTGAATCGGAGCTTGCGGGACGTCATCGAGCTGAACGTGTGCTGAACTCAGAGCTGCCGTGCGTTCGGTACTTGGATCGGTCGGATCGTGAAGACGTACGACTACATCAAACACATTGTGCTAACGCCTCCGCTTTCGGTCTACGAGGGTACATGGACACACTCTCCCATCTCGTTACTATGCATCACCATGATCCTGCATGCGCGTAGGATTTTTTTTGAAATTACTACGTTACCCAACAGTAGGCTAGGTGGCCATGGCTAAAAAGGGAGGACACAAGTAGACCATGGAGTGATTTCAAAATCAGGGTTCCAATGGAAGCGAAACTACTATTCCAGGCGGCAACAAGGAGCGAAGCGCATTGTGGGCTTACTACACTTTTTTGGGAAGATCGATGGTATGAGGGTGCAAGACCTTGCGCCAACTATCTATGGCATGATACCTCGGCGCGTCAGATCGACGAGGCTCGTTGCCCCAGCCATCGAGGATGGGTCTTGGGCATTGGATGTTGGCTCGAAGCTTGAGGAAGAGGCACTACATGAATTTCTCTCACTATGGCTAAGAGTAAGCACGTGGGACCCGGAGGCGATGTGTCGGACACTGTCTCTTGGTCCTGGGAGACCAACGGCCGCTACTCGATGAGGTCGGCATACGCGGCAAGGTTTTGGGGCCGAACTGTGGAACCCATGGCGGAGCTGACTTGGACATCTCAGGCCCTATCCACTTGCAAGTTCTTCAGTTGGCTCACATTGCGGGACCGGTGCTGGACCTTGGATCGACTTGCACGAAGAGGATTACCACATCAAGACGCATGCCCTCTGTGCAACCAAGAGGAAGAAACGATCAACCATGTGCTACTAACATGTGCGTTTGCCAGATCAACATGGGCTGTGATCTGTGAGGCTCTAGGCAAGCCGGATTGGACGCCGACGGCACAAGACTCCCTTGGCATATGGTTACGGGATAAGCAAGGGCCTAACAACTTGCGGCGAAAGGATCTACATACCATCTTCATCCTAACAATTTGGAAACTATGGAAGCATCAAAACGCTATTGTGTTCGACGGAGCATCTCCTTTGATGGATGTGCTTCTAAGTAGGGTGAGGTCCGAAGGCATGATATGGTCGGTAGCCGGCAAGTTTAAGAGGAATGCAGACCCCTTCTTCAGTAGTTTACAGAGGTGGGCGCGTAGGGAGGAGTAAAGTTTGTAACGAAACTCTTGTAATACTATGGTGGAGGCACTCTTTGCCTTTCTTCTTTAATATATAATACACACTCGTGCATATTTGAGAAAAAAGAATGCCGATCTATAGGAATCCAGTCTCTTTTTTTTTTCTGTTATGGGTTGTTTACGTTTGAGTGCGGCTGTTCAGTGTTCTGATGTCTATATTTCACACTTAGTTCCGTTTTCACTTACTATTTGTTATTGTACAGGACTATTGGCAAGCCTTACCTGATCGCTTGCTCTGCTCCATTGACCCTGTTTGGATCCATAGGTTAGAGTTAGTTTGGGTTAGATTGGACTCAACTAACCCAAAAATATTTAAATAGGAGGGTTAGTTTGAGTTAGATGCATCTAACCCATTCAAAAAATCTAACCCACCCAAGAGGTGCTAATTGGGGTTAGTTCTTCTCAAGATCACTAAAAACACTTTTTTCTCTTGCTCTCGCCGCAGCAGATCCCTCCCTACTTCCTCGAAGCTTCTCGTCCTCTCCCTCCCTCCCTCTCGCACCGTCTGTGAAGGCGTCTCGCTGTCCGCGCTCCATCTAACTCTGCCATCCAAACACCTTTTTGGCTAGAGTTAGTTTAGAGTTAGTTTAGGGTTAGAATCTAACTCTAAACTTTAACTGAGTTAGAGTATCCAAACAGGGCCATTGTTGTCAGCAATAATGGAACCTGACCCGCATGATGCGGCATGCGTACGAATAGAAAGGTGCGAGGCGAGAAAATTCTGGGAAGTTCATAGAAAGTGAGTGGACAGCGCAACGACAAAGCTGGGACACTTTTCGGCCTCTGCTTTCGAGTTCGTGAGTGTTCAATCTTCTTCTTTCCCGGATACCCAACTTTGCACAAGGATCAGAAAGCGAAACACGAAGAACCCCAATCACTCGACCACACACACGCCAGATTCACCCCATCTATCTAATCTACTGCTACTCTACTAGCCCTGTTCGTATTTGCTTTCCTTTTTTTTTTCAGTCACTCGTTCGGAGACATGTATTGCACTGTTGCAAATTCTTGCCATTGCGATGAAAACTTTTCAGTTCATCGCTGTGGTATGCAGAACAGAAGGATCTCAAATGTTAGCCATCGCCTTGGACAACTGCTGCTGCAAGCTGAAGGTCACGATGGGTTCTCCATGCTGCGCAAGCAATCCTTAACTTGTGAACATCGACTTGTTACCCCGAGGTTTATAGGGAAACAACCTTGTGGCGAAGCAGAGATGCCATATTCCATACATGTGTAGGAAAGCGATTCCGCAAAGCTTACTGCGGAAGGAACAAGATTCCATCGACAAGTAGAGAAAATGACACGATGAAGAGGAGATGTCAAATTATCATGGAAGAAAAAAGGAGCGCTTGAAGTTTATGTTGTGAAAGCAGCTCCCTGAACTCTGAAGAAGCACGCGGTTTGACAAATGATCATTCAGAAATGCATCTTAATTATTTACAGTATACGAAGATTGAAGAACAGAAGACTTGATGTACATGAGAGGATCACTCTTTTCAATCGTGGTGGAATTTACAGAATGCGGGCGAGTTCTGGTGTTCTAAGTAAACGCAGGCTTGCTAATCTGCCTGCATTTGTCAGTAATCATCAATCAGGTCGATAATGCTAGGAAAATGAATGTAGATGACAGGAGCGTCGCCGAGTACCGCGCGATCTTCCACCCCTTGATGGAGGAGGACGACGAGGTGAGGCCCTTGAAGCCGAGGTCGAGGGAGACGCTGCCGTCGGGCTTGAAGAGCCCGAAGTGGCGCTCGCTCCCGGGGCCGGTCTTGAGGTCCTCGTTGAAGAGCGCGAAGATGAAGGCCTTGACCACCCTCTTGGGCCTGTAGGGCGTTCCCTTCCTCAGGAACAGCCGCTTCCGCAGGTTGAAGTTGTAGGTCCGGGCGTTCTCCAGCGTGGCGCCGGGCTCCGTGGCATCGCCGGCGGACGCCCAGCCGGTCTCCGACACGCGCACCTCCATGTCGCTGTACCCGGCGGCCTCCAGCGCGGCGTAGGTGGCGTCGATCTGGGCCTCGAACATGTTGTCGTAGTGGAGGTTGGTCTTCTGGTCCAGGATGCCGGCGTTGGGCTTCATCAGCGCGTAGTTCACGTCGATGTGCTCCGGGTCGCTCATGTAGGCCAGGAACGGGTACGCGTTCACGTAGAAGGGCGCGCCCGTCTTGGAGAAGAAGTCCAGGAGCGGCTTCAGGTACGGCATGAGGTCGGGCCGGAACGTGCCGGCGGAGGGCGGGTACGAGGTGCCAAACACCGCCTCCGAGTGCGGCGTGTTCACCTCGATCCTGCCGGACAGGCGCATCGCGCGGAGCGCGTCGTGGATGTTGACGACGGCGCCGAAGAGCGCCTCGGCGAGCCCCGTGTCCTGCCCGCCCAGGATCTCATTGCCCACGATGATGGCCACGATGCGCGTGGACGGGTAGTAGGGCCGCACGTTCTCGTTCACCCAGTCCATGGCCTTGCTCGGGGTGGCGGAGATGTCCTTGACGAGGCCGTTCGGGATGGCGATGGCGAGGTTGAGCCCGGAGTTGCGGAACGCGTCCAGCACGGTGTGGTCCGAGTCGAAGATGCGGACGTTCTTGATCCGCGCCATCTGGAGCAGCTTCACCACCTCCGTCGGCGGCGGCAGGTTGTCGGCGATCCGGCCGTAGTTCACCCCGTACGTCCCCACGAATGAGTGGAAAGCCGCGACTGCCAATCAATCAAGAAACCAAAAATCAGTCATGGCGGGAGAAGCAGCAACAGAGAGGCTAGCTGATCAGGCGGGGGCATGCGATACGTACCGCGGCGGGGGAAGAAGGCGAGGAGGCAGAAGAAGAGGAGGAGCAGGAGGACCGGCCGGCGGTGGCCGAGGCTGGAGTCCGGCCGGCCGCGCGGAGTCACCGCCATGGTCTTCCGGCGAGGCGGGGAGCAGGTGGCAGGCAGCGCACGTGGTGGCGACTGGAGGAGGAAGAGGAGGAGGAGGCTGTGGCCGGTAGTGGGCGGGGCATTAGAGGAGGGCCGGGGCGCCACTTTGCTTGAGGTGCAGGGCATGGCGGCACGGCGGCAAGTGCCATGGAGGGAGCACGGAGGCGGCAAGTATCCGCGGTTACTTACTCCATCCGCCGCGTTGCTTGCTCGGCCGGAGCAAGCCAAGGATCGACGTTGCCGAGAGTGGTCAGGCGAGGTTACTGGCGGATCCAAGGATGGAATCCGGTCTCTTGCGTTGCTTCCTCAAGCGACGTACAGCGCCCTGCTCTGTGTCTGCACGCTCTGTGTCTGTACCTTCTGGCTTTCAGCTGTCTTCAGTACGGATACATAAGCCCGTAGCACTTGCGGTTCTGCTCTATACTTAAGCTGGGCCGAAAGTTTATTATTTCTAAATCGCTTTATGAAAATTTTAGACGACTTAGAACATCATCATCGCTATGCTTGGTTAGTCAAACAAATAGTGGGGTATTATGGACTTGGAAAAGAACCCTCCTGGTTGCTCTCGT